GCCCTGGAGCGAGTAACTTCCCCTGTCTGAGTCGTGGTTCCTTCCTCTCTAAAGTGATGAGGTTGGGACTTCCCTGGTGGTCCAGTGGTTAAGACTCTGCGCTTCCACTGCAGGGGCCATGGGTTTGATCCCTGGTCAGGGAACTAAGGTCCCGCATGCTGCTGGGGCCACGGACAAAAAAAAAAAAAAAAAAAAAAAAGTTGAAGGGAGGTGGAGAGAAAAGACTGAGGATAAAATACTTGCATGGGTGCCTTCCAGCTCTTACTAGGCAGGAATAATCCCCAATAATTTGCTCTCCTATCTCTTTTGAACATTACATGTGCCCTGCAACGTAAAAACAGTTGGATTAATGAAGGATATTGCCTCACAGAAAAGACACGATGTGCCCAGTGTCATACAGCTGGCCAAGTGGCCAAGAGGAAAACAAACTCAGGTACCTTAGGTCCCAGATATCTGTGACCTCTGGGACACTGATATCTTGGGGAGGATCCAGAGGGTCAGGGATGGGCCAACATTAGGCACCTGAAAATGTGGTTTATATCTGCCTCCTTCCTCCGGCGGGGGGGGGATGGGAGATGATGGACATAGAGGCAGGATCAGGGGGCTAGGGGGAAAGACTGAAACTCTGGACAGATGCTGAGTGCTCCAAGCATCCAGGCTGGCGTCAAGCCATATAGCTCTAGGAACAGACGGACTTGGGTTCAAATCCCAGCTCCTCTACTGACTATCTATGTGACCTCAGGCAAGTGACTTCACCTCTCTGAGCCTGCTCTATAAAGTGAAGCTAAAAATGCCCACCCCAGGGAATTCCCTCGCTGTTCATTGGTTAGGACTCCACAATTTCATTGCCAAGGGCTGGGGTTCCATCCCCGGTTGGGGAACTAAGATCCCACATCCTGCAAGCCACGCAGCATGGCAAAAATAAATAAACAATAATTTTAAAAAATTAAAATGCCCACCCCAAAGGCTGCTTGGGTGGATTCAATAAGATCATGCTTGGTACATAGTAGGTGTTTCAAAAGCGATGGCTGTTATTACTGGGGCTCTACTCAGTTGGACTGTGAAAACACTCATTCAGTTCTTCCCTTAAGCAAGCATCCTAAGACATCATCCTTGGCTGAGAAATCTTCTTGCCAGTCCACTGCACTTATCATTAACATATTTCTCATAGCTCAGGAAATATCCAGAAAGCTCTGTCCCCATCTTCCAAAGTCAGACCCCGAGAGGGGAGGTGACTCGCTCCAGGGCACGCAGCAAGTCTCTACGTCAGGGCTCTCCAAACCCCAGGCCATGGACCAGTAGCGATCCATGGCGTGTTAGGAACTGGGCCTCAGAGCACGAGGTGAGCGGCAGGCAAGTGAGTGAAGCTTCCTCTGTATTTACAGCTGTTCCCCATCGCTCACATTACCGCCTGAGCTCTGCCTCCCGTCAGATCAGCGGTGGCATTAGATTCTCATAGGAGCGCCAACCCTACTCTGAACTGCACACGCGAGGGATTTAGGTTGCGAGCTCCCTATGAGAATCTAATGCCTGATGATCTGAGATGGAACCAAGGTGGTGATGCAAGTGCTGGGGAGCGGCTGCAAATACACATTATCATCAGCAGAGAGGTTTGACTGCACAGAGACCATAATCAATCAATTGCTTGCAGGCATATCAAAACCCTATCAGTGAGTGGCAAGTGACAGTTAAGCTGCATCTTACGGAGTAGACTGGACGTAAGCAACACACTTCAGGTGTCACTGTCTCCCATCACCCCCAGAAGGGCCCATCTAGTTGTACAAGCTCAGGGCTCCCACTGATTCTGCATTATGGTGAGTTGTATAATTATTTCAATATATATTATAATGTAATAATAATAGAAATATAGTGCACAATAAATGTAATGCACTTGAATCATCCCAAAACCATACCCCCTCCCCCATCACTGGTCCATGAAAACAATCGTCTTCCATGAAACCGGTCCCTGGTGCCAGAAAGGGTGGGGACCACTGCTCTAGAGGGCCAAGGAAAGGAAATCATCAGGGGCCCCATGGCCCCTGAGAGGGAGCAAAGGCAAGGCATTGGGTGTGGGAGGTACCAGCAGCCTGTGGGATGAGGATGGAGGCCTGAGGATGTGCTGGGGGGAAGAGGCAGGCATAGCCAGCAGCGGGAGGTAGGGCAGGGTCCTTATGGCCTCAGGCAGCCCCAGGCTGGAGTCTGCCCGCCCTTCTCCATGCAGTAGCCAGAGGAGTCCCTTTCAAGTGTAAGGCACATCACATGTGGCTCCCCATCTCACTCCAAATAAAAAAGTTCAAGTCTGGCGCCCTCCAAAACTCAGCCTCCCTCGTCCATTCTGCAGTAGCCCCACCAGACCCTCCTTATTCCATTGACAGGCCTCCAGGCCTTAGCACTCTCTCTTCCCTCTGCCCGGAATGCTCTTCCCCTCAGTGTTTGCATGGGTACCCCCTCCAGAGCCTTCCCTGACCGTTCTGTCTAAAATAGTAGCCCCATCGCCTCTAACCCCTCACCCTATTTTCTTTTTCCTTATGATTTACCACTACCTGACATATTTTATATTTATCTGGCTTACTGTATCTTCCCCAATGGAATGTAAGCTCCATGAGGGCAAGGGCTCTGCTCAGCTCACTGCGGTATCTCCAGCATCTGGCACAGAGTAAACAGTACATATTTATCAGATGAATGAATGACTGGTTGATTGAACTCCGGTGCCACGATTTTCTAGCTTGGATTGCTTTGGGCAGGTCATTTCACTTCTCTGAAACCTCCAATGCAAAAGATAGTACATATCCATCTCATAGGGTTATTGTTTCAATAAGATAATAGAGGGTGAAAGGGACTGGCACATAATAGGTGCCCAATAAATAACAACCACAATTATTATCACCAAGGATCTCAAACTCAGTCACCCGCTCCCTGAGGTCTTGGGCATGTCAGTGATCTCTCCGAGCCCCAGTCTGTTCACCTGTCAAACTCTGTCCCACACAAGGGATGTTTGCTGGATGCCTGGGCGGTGGACATGAAGCACCTAGCAGGGGGTCTGACACCCAGTAAGCACTCACCAAGTGGCAGGTACTGCAGTCCTAGAGGGTCTAGGATTTGGATACCGGCCCCACCACTTTTTCCATGACCTCGGGGAAGCAGACAAACTTTTCCTCATCTATAAAATGGGGATAATGATAGTGCCTTCTTCGCAAATGATCAGGAGGTCACAATGAGACTGTGCATCTGAAAGGGCTTCACAAAGCCCTCAGGAGATGTGATGTGACAGGCAGGAGGACGCAGGATGGGGCCCAGGGATAAAGAAAGATAGAACCAAGCATTGTGCCTGGCCTGAGCTCAGAGGCGGGTCATGGAGCTTGGAAGAAGCCAAGCTCCATCCCTGTCCCGGAGCTCTCCGCAGAGAAGGTGCTACTGTCCCCCACGCCACCCCCCAGGCCTGCCCCTTCCTTCTCCGTAGGGCCTCACGGGGGACCTCTTCTGGCCATTCTTGGCAAGCGGCGTTTTCAAGGGAGGGAGGTGACAGCAGCAGGACCCTTATAAGAGGCACCTTTGCCTCAATCAACCTCAAGCCCGATCTGCTTTCCACCTCCACATCCTGGGGCAGGCCCTAGGAAAGAAGACGTAGGAGAAAAGGCTCCTGGAAGTTCACGATGCCAAACACACTTCTCGTGCTCCAGCCCGCGAGAGTCTGAGGAGAGAAACACCAGGTCCCCTCCTGACCTGGGCCCTCTGACCCCCTCCACCACCAGAAGAAGGAGAGTGGGGACCACCACTGCCTTGTTCAGCCTGTGCCTGGCAAAACCCAGGTGTCGACTCCACAAATGACTCAATCAGTAATCCCTAGACTGCAAATTCCATGAAGCATGATTTTTTTTTTGGTCTGTTTTGTTCTTTGATGAATTTTCAATACCTAAAAGAGTGCCTGGCATTTAGTAAGGGCTAAATAAATATATGTTGAATAAGTGATTCCACTAATAAGTCAGTGAATGAAGCAGAGAATCATTGCTAGCAAGAGAATTACTATAAGTGAAGTTCCCTGCGGGTTGGGATTTTTTTTTCTTGTGTTTTTTGATAAATCCCCAGGGCCTTGAAAGGCCTTGGAACATAGGAGGTGCAGAGTAAATGTATGTGAGAGCATATGCATGTGAACATATGACTGAGTAAACCACTGAATCATGACTCGCTAGAATTTAATCTTTCTGGAGGCAAGGGTTTCCATCTGCTTTGTTTAAGGCTGCATTCTCAGCACCTACAACAGTGCCTGGAGCATAGCCCGTGTCGAATGAATGAATGAATGAATGAATGAATAAGCAAGGCCCCAGCTCTCAGCCCAATGACCTCAGACCGAGAAGAATGAAACACAAAGGGCACCTGAGCCCTGCCCCCGGCCACCACTCGCCTCATGGTTTTTTAAATAATTTGTCGATTGTTTTTAATTGTTGAGGCAGTAATACTTGGTTCATGAAACTGCAATATACAGAGAGGTGAAATAAATAGCTTATATATATATAATATATATAATATAGCTGGTTTTAAAATATTCCCTTATTCATTGGTGTACTAGGTCACGTGAGTCATGGAAGGTTGATAGCAGCATCCTCCAGAACTGTGAGCAATGCAGGGTCACCATGATTGGACGAGGCCGTCTGTCGTCGGAAGTCGAGGCGCCGAGAATTCCGAGGGGCACACCTTCCCTGCGCGGTGTCTCAGGGCAGCTTGCAGCAGACAATAAATAAATGACTGCAAACCAGAGAGCGATTTTTGTTGGGAGTCTGGGGCAGGGACAGGGGATTGGGAAAGAGGGGGGAGTATGTTGGGGGTGAGGGGATACTACTTTCTCTTTGTTTTTCTCTCTCTTTTTTGTTTTTTTTTTTTTTTTTTTTTTTTTTTT